ATCTTCCTTCTCTAATATATCTCCTAACTCAGGGCCTGCGTAAAGGTTCTCTAAATATTCTTTCCACCTATCTGCCTTTTCCTCATTTTCTATCAACATGACCCCTGCCTCGTTTCTTATATTATTACTACTGTATCCTACATCTCTAAAATTCCTTTTAATTATATTATAAGCCTCATCGGTTTTACCTACTTCAAACTTTTCTTCTACTTCTTTACACATCCTATTAATCCACTGTTCCTTAGCTGCCCTACACTTCCTAATTATTTCCCACTTCATAGTTTTATATCTTCTTTGACTTTCTTCGTCCGTCCTGTTGTTGTTTTTCTGCCTTTCGTCTATTAATCCTACAATTTCATTTGTTATCCAGGGTTTCCTACTTTCGTTTTGTTTAAGACCTAGTACCTCTGTAGCTGCTGACTTTAGGCACGTTTACCCATTACAGAACCATTAATTTAAGAATTCCAAATAGATTGTTAAAGGTGAATGTTTGGAGCGGGTGCAAAACATGGACGGTGGGTGTGGCGGAAAAGAAGTTAGAAGCATTAGAAATGTGGTGTTACCGGCGAATGGTGAGGATACCGTGGATAGAGAAAATTAGAAATGAAGAGGTATTAGAAAGAATAGGAGTACAGAGGACTCTATGGAAGTCAATAAAAACTAGGCGAGATGGGTTGGTAGGAGACTTTCTCATAGATGAAGATCTAGTCAGAGACAGATTACAGATAAATAGTTCAGGATGTGGGATGTTCTAGTTTTAAGGAAATGCGAAAATTAGCTGAGAATAGGAAGAAGTGGAGGTGCGTGTCCAGCCAGAGTTAGGACTGACGACTTTATGATGATGATTACAGATAACCTAAAATTAATGAGGAAAAATTGTTGCTGCAGTCAGTCTTTCGCCGATAATTGAACCCGGGCCACTGGTTTTACGCACCAGTACTCTAACACTAAGCTATAAGGAGATGACAGGAGCAACCGAAGATACGTACCTAAGAGTATAGGTCGGAGAATTATTGTTGATGAGACCTTTTTTGAATTTTTGTAGGTTTACTTAAATGTATTAGTGAATTAATTTTACCCACTACAGATAACCTGCAATAAATGATGAAAAACTGTTGTTGCTGTAACTCCTTTGCCGGGAATCGAACTCGGACCGCTGCTCTTACACACCAGTATTCTATCACTAAGCTAGCAGTTATCTGTAGTGGGTAAAATTAATTAATTATATACTGAATTAACCTCACAATAATTCAGAACTGTCTCAGTATATGGTATATTGAATGCATTCGTACATACTTTTGAAAACATGAGAACATAAACGACATACATATATAAATCAATAAGAAATAACTTCAAGATGATGTATACATAGCGGGATGTAATAACGTAAGGGATGTGATATATCACATTAACGATATAAATTGTTCACATATTACTCTGTTAACTATAATAGCTGCTCAGGTTGAATATTAATTTATTATTAATTTTTTTTGCAGATAAGATGCTAAACTTTGGTATTGTAGAAATAGCATGTGGTTTAATAAAATACGATAAAAGAATACAGGTAATTTCCCAACTGTCCCTGTAACCGATTAACAGGAAAAGTATCAGACAGTGCGAATTTCAAGTACCAGGTGTTAATCTGTTAATTTTAGATAAACCACTTGAAATTATTTTTTAACTTGAAATTTGGACAATAAAAATGATTTAAACAATCTACGACCTTTGACTTTGACATTATCAATCCATAAGTACGTAGTTATTAACGAAATCCTTTTTTTGTTTTAGTAAAAATTAAGTGTTTTACATATATCCATAATTAATTAAATGGCCTTCGGTAACAACAGAATTTTATTATTTATGCAGGTTATCATTCATGCAGTTAACATTAATAACAATTAGGAGTAATATATATATTTTTTATGAAAATCACTAAAGAGAAAGGCTTAATCTCATTAGCAACTGCACATATTTAATACTGATATTCCTTTCCTAATGCTTGTT